GTTTAGGGTTAAATTAGGTTACCATAATGGGTATATATATATATATAGTAAATAATAGGGTTTCCCTAATATAGTAACTTAATTATTTAAGTTCCTTAACAGCAACCCAGCAAGTCTCCAGTGTAGGGTATCGATTGTTTGTTACTGTCTAGCTGAGGTTTAGATTTGGACTAGGGTTTAGGGTCTAATTGACCCTAAGCCCTGAACCCGAGCTGTGGTTTAGGTTTTGAGTAGGGTTTAGGGGCTAATTGGGCTTCAGCTAGGGTTTGGGATGGAGGGGCGCGGCGTTATGTGTTGAAGGTAGTTTTTGGGTGAGCGTCCAGGATTTGAGGCAGAATTCTGGATGCCTTCAATGCAAGATGTTCTGACTTGCAAGGTATGCATATTTGCTGTCGGCTGCCAGTGATTTCACTGGATGCTGGCAACGTCTAGATGCTAACCACGTCCCCGAATCAATTGTAGCCATTCCAGAAGGGCCCTAGTCCTCCCTACAATCTGAACAAACCCTCAGTATTTGGGTACCGGTTTATAGTCTGTGGTCCTGCATTGGTGCTGGTGACCACGGAGGATTCTTATGCCTGCAGCTTTAAAACTGATCTGATGCTGCATTTGTTGTGCCCCTGGATGTGCAAGATAGCGAACTTATTCCTCGATTATAAGGAGGCAAGGGAACGTTGGAATCGGTGGGATTGGTAAGAAGATACCCCTAGTGCTGCCACTACTTGTGCTCCCACTGCTACTGAGGGTACCCTGCTGAGGTATGGACCATCCACACATTGTCCGGCTTTTTGACGTCTATGAGGACAGAATGTGCTTCATCCTTCTTTCCGAAACCGCTGCAGGAATTCACCCCAGCAGTGTTCAAAATCTTGCTGTCTTGGGGATACTGACATGCTAGTCCTTCAAGACTGGGCTACGCAACGTCTTAGAGATATGTACAGGTTACAAAGGCATTTATAGTATGCGGTCTTTCATCCTGAGGTCCGATATGCCTGCTATATATGATGGGTGGTTTTCAAAATTATGGTCCCTTTTTGGATCCCTATTATAGTACGGCACCTAAAATTTTTGGGAGCATAATTTTGACAACCACCCATATCTTATGGTCTCATACAGGATAGCCGTATATACTCTTCAAGGGCCTTCCTTCTTCAGAGCCATATCAGAGGCATATTGACAAGCTCAAAACAAACCTAGGTTCGGACAAGGAATGTTTTCGTGGACGTACTGATGCTTAACCGGGAGCTTTGAGCGGTAGTGGAGGGAGTGCATATAGGTAATGGTACACGGGTTGATCCACGGATTTGTAGAAATCCGCTCCCCCTCCAAACGGGTCCTATGATTGATCCAGCTGTTCTAAAGAAGAGCTAGATGTTCCTTGTGACTTTGGGGGATGGCACGGATAGCTTCTACCCAGATTTGTTCAACAGGTCAGCAGTGGAGCCCCCCACTTAGATATGCTCCCAAAAGGATCTACATGTTTGGCCTCTGCAGGAAGAAGACAGGCTAAGCTTGGTTATGGAATGCATGGAGGGTGGCGAGCTCTTCGATCGGGTTCGGGAAAAGAAGGTGTACTCCGAGAAGGATGCCTGCAAAACGGCATGGATGATGCTGTTGGCCGTGAACTACTTACACAGCGTGGGCATTGTGCATAGGCAGGCTGCTAGTTAGAGGGAACGAGGAGCAGCAAAAGTTAAAAGACAGTGTGGGCGGAACCCGACGTGTTTGTGCAGTTGCACTGCTGTTCACAGGTCGAGTTTAGCTGCCCTCACAAAGTACCCTGGATCAGCAGTGTAGTGAAATAGTAGCTAGCAGTAGCAGGATCAGTAAGAGGAGGGGGATTAGTAGCAGCATTAGCAGTAGCTGTGGGAGTAGCAGTAGAAGCAGCAGCAGTAAGAAAATAAATGTACCAGTTACTGGTAGTTCTAGTACCACCACTGACTACTGCCACCTAGCTACATACTATTACTATTTCTATTACTATTACTATTACTTTTACCATTACTATAACTAGTATATTATTACCCCTACATTTACAAGCCTCCTACCCCCTACAGGGACTTGAAGCTCGAAAATTTCCTCTACGAGAAGAAGGATGGCGACTTCCTGAAACTTATAGACTTTGGCTTCAGCAAGGCCTTGGGGCTATGGTCTAGGGATGGGGTTTAGTGATTAGGGTTTAGGGTTTGGGTTTTAGGGTTTAGGGTTTAGGGATTAGGGCTTGGGGTTTAGGGTTGAGGGTTAATGGCTTTAGCGGCGTATGGCCTCTGAGCCTTTCTGCATCATCAGGGCGGATGCCTTCTCCCTAACATTGAGCACCTCTCGCACCTTTGAACTAAAACATAATTCCTACGATATTTCGAACACGTTGGGAGAACATATGCTGTTTCGTTGTAGGGTACGTGGTTATTTTGTAGCCCCAACACCCTAAACTGGGGAATTCCTGTCATGTTATGGTAATGTGATCGTAACATCTAGTACGGCTTTGATACTGTGAGCAGAAGTTGTAACTTCATCATGCGGATACTCGTCATGGTAGCCCCTAAGTATCAACCTTCCCGGTGTTATTGTCGCAAGGGTCGCTGCTTCAACTATTCTGACTAAAACGTTTTGGGTGATTCATTTTTGCCGCCGGATGGGCTTCATGCCTCTAAACGTTCGTTCTCGTTGTTACTGGGCCTGGGAGTATTGGGACAATCCATGTGCTTGCAGCTTCAGAGGGACATTGCTTAGAGGTGCAAGAGTTGAATGGTAACTATGCCCGACGTAGGATCAAAATCCCCACCTGGTCTCAGGACTCAGCAGGCAATAGTATTAGTAGTTGGAACAGAAAGCAAATGTAATAACAGCTGTAATTGTGGTAGTAGAGCTGGTAGTATTCTTTAGTACTCACATCATATGTTCTTTTAATTAGCAGCCAAGAACCGACCTTCTTCGCAGGTGTGGGCCAAGAACACCAAAATGGAGTTGAGCTGCGGGACCCTCTCGTATGCAGCGCCGGAGGTCCTCGCGAAGTCTTATACCAGCCACCTTCTTTCTTGCTGGCATCTTTTATTTCTCTAAATACTTTCACCTGGTAAGGACTAACTATGAGCTTATGGACATGTCGTAAGAGTAGCCCAAGACCATGACCAATGACAGCCTCTGAAATTGCCATGCGCAAAAAACAAGACCGTAGCAACGGAGTGCCTCAACCATAGACTGGATGTTTGCGCACACGCATAAAAAAAATAAAAAATCTAAACCCTGAACTGCAGGAGGAGGTCCCCCCAACAGAAGGAATACAGTATTTGGTAGTTTCTCAAAATAAGGGGACCCCAATATACACCCCAATATAGTAGAATCCTTATTATAGGGATCCCCAAAAGGCACCCCTAATTTTGGGAAACCCCCAGTTGGGGTCCATGAGAGGAATCCCTAGTTCCGGGAAATGCCCAGATCATCAATTCCAACCACGTCCTGAAAGCTCCCATGGTCCCTCGGTTTAGGATTTAGGTTTCTGCTCTGGACGGCTTCACCTCCCCCAAAGTAAGCTACAACCTGTCAGCGGCCTCTTTCCAAAGGAGTGTCGTCTTTACATGGCTTTTTGGGCCTTGATGTTTAATTTGGAGGAACCAACGACAACCCAGGCCAATGCGACCTGTGGAGTCTAGGCGTCATTGTTTTCATCTTGCTGGTGGGCTACATGCCCTTTGCTGGCAATGATGAGCGGAAGCAGATTCAGATGATCCGCTCCGGCAACTACATCGTAACTAGACCGCAGACTTGAGTAGGTCGTGTGTCATGGCCGTCAGGAATCACCAATTCAAAGTGGCAGAGCATTGTGTGCTCCTGTTGTTTCATCTTGTTTGACTGCTTTCGGCTATATATAACTGCTGCAACAGCAGCAGCAACAACATCAACAACACCACCTGCTGCTGCTGCTGCTGCTGCTGCTACGACTTTGGCAGTCTTCTACTTTGACTAGTACAGCTGTTTTCTCTTCTGCCATAATTGCTACTAATAAGCAGCAGAAGAAGAACCTAGTAACATTGGTATCGCCAACCTTATTTTCCACTTGTGCTTTCCCATTGTGGCGTGCCAATAACCGGCGTGTAGGAACTCCCGCACTATGAAGTAGGATTATCTTCACCTTTTTAGAAATGGTTATAAAAAGAATATAACCTGACCTGGGTCAACCACCAAGAAACAGTAATCAGATGGGAAAAAAGGTGTTGCAAGCACGTAGCCAGAAGATAGGCCGTCTCGCGGAGGCCTGCTTCTCGGGTCCCCAATCCCCAAACACCCAGACCAAGCAGGCCACTCCCAAAATGACCATCATCGAATCCCCAATACACGATACTAGGGACCCCGCATTCCTCCTATGGTCCCGACATACCGTGAGGTTCCCTCGTTTCATGAGGAAAAAGCCGTCTTTAACATAGATTAAGTTGATGTTCTTCTTCAGGCTGTAATTGTTTAAGAAGATTTCAATCTTATTTGGATGAAACATACAAACACTACTCAAATGGAAGGTCCCCTGTATAATATCACAACCCATTATTTAGGGTACCCAAAATGTCTTTCTGAGGTGAAGAAGGACAGGTGGGCCAAGGTATCCTCGCAGGCTTCAGATTTTGTGCAGAAGCTGCTGGTGGTGGATCCAGATGCTGGGCCCTTCTTTGGACGGAATGCGCGGTTTAGGGTTTAGGGAGGGCTTAGGTTGGCATATATAGGTATACAGCGGGTGCTTTGTCTGAAAATGTACGGTCAGTTTCTTGGTGTCCTTGCACTCAAGAAGCAGCTATTTAAGAGATTGTATACGGGATTCTAGCCTGGGCGAATACCCAGACTCAAAGGTGTCGAAGCTTCGAGCTGAAGGCAGTGGGAACTCTCCGTTGATTAGATGGATTTATTGGGAACGTGCTTGTTGGCTTTCACACCTCCGGATGTCAAAGAAAGACCTAGTAACTATTGTCACCATACTAGACTTGGTAGTTTCCCAAAATATGGGGACCCCAATATAGACCGCCAAAATACAATTACAGTAATCCTTATTATTGGGACCTCCAAGAAGGTACTCCTAATTTTGGGAAACCGCCAATTTGTGCAAGGGCAAAATCACCACACCTTGGCGACTCCCTCAAGCCTCACTCCTGGATCATAAGCCGTTGTCCATAGGCCATTTACCCTGAAACCCTCAACCTTGTACTATATCCCTTGGAAGCCTAAAGATGCTAGCCCCTAACCCCTGGAATCCTTATAGAATCGAATCCTTACCAAACATGCTGTAAAGGATGTGCGGATGAACGCACCCGCTGCTTTGGAGCATCCTTGGATCAAGAACCTGGAGCATGCCAACACTGACTGCATTGATGAAGCTATGGTGGCCACGACCAACATCATTTTTTCATGGATTTTGGGGAATCCCACATATTAGGGGCTGGATAACACCAGTGCCCCAAAAGGGATCTGAAATGGTGGAGGATTTGGTGTTAATTCGTTGGGCCGTTGATGGGGAGTTGCGGTTTAGGGTTTATGGCGAGCTTGCAAACAAAGGCGATTCTTTTTTTGGACGAATGCTCTCAAAACTAGGAACCTCTGTACCCTCCAAAGAATGCAGTCCTAGACCCTAACTAGCCCTAAACCCTAAGCCCCCAGCGACCCCTAGAACCACCAAAATCCCCGACGCAATGCAGGAGGGATTCACAGTTGTGAGCAGCTCCGGATGAGGGTTTCTCAAAATAGGGGATCCGTGCCCCTTGAGGACTATGTTGGGATTGGGTCCCTAGAGCGGGGTTCCTATAACACTAGGGGTCCCTAGATACCTTTCCCCCATGGAGGGAGCAGTTGGCCAAGTCCCACAGATCATGTTCAGACACCCTAAACCGCAAACCGTAGATCCTACACCCTAAACCCCAAATCCCAATAGACCCTAAACCCAAAGCCCTGAAACTTCTGTTAAGCCAGTCCAAGGTCACTTCCCTTTGCAACTTTGCAAGGACGCAGAACTTCCGCAGATCATGCATGAAGCTTGGTTTAGGGTTTCGGGTGTAGGTGATTCTCAGAATTTTGGGCCTTTCAGAGCGCTATAGGAGTCAGCAAAGAAGTTCAGTACTTGGGGACCAAAGAACTGGGAAGCTCCCAAAATTGGCCTTCTAAAGGCTGCTGTGCTTTTCAAATGGGTCTTTGAGATGGAGTTCCATGTTTGTTTGGGTATAGTTACGTACCCATATGACAACAACTCACTTTAACGTCTTTAACAGCAACCCAGTATAGGGCTCAGAGTTTAGGGATACTGCCCCCAAATAATGGAGAAGCAAATGGAAAAAGCAAATGGAACTTGAAATGGAGACTGGGAATATATAAGGGCTTGTAGGAAAAGATGCAGCTATTGTGGTTCCATACTCCTTGTAGTATTATGCGTATGGGGTACCTGGAAGAAACTATTGATAACTAAGGGTTTAGGATTTAGGGCTTGCCCCTTTGGTATTGCAAGTTGCTGGGCTGGAAACATGTTCATCTGACGGCCAGTTATCTTCCGCGGCCCCGCTGTAGCATCAGATGCTCATTACACTCGCTAAAGTTACTTCTCAAGCAATTAGTCCTTGCTGGGGTCTTGGCCCCGCATGAAACTAAAAACCTTGACAACGCATAAGGTTAAAAGCCACCGCTGATTCTTCGCTTGCGAGATCAAAGCTCCTCTTGGTGGCAGTTGCCAAAAGACAGGTCCACCCAAAACAAGTTCGCCAGCAGGTGCACTTTAATAACAAGGGAAGGGCTAACTGCAAAATCGTCCTGACCGTTTCTTGGGATCAGCAAGAAGGGCATGCCCTTTTTGCAAGCCCCAGATGATGATATTTGATGTTATATAATATTCCTGGATACTAGAACCCTTGCTTCTAGAAGGCCCTGAACCCCCTACACACGAACTCGAAGCCCAGACCCTAAACCCTGCACATCTACAACCTTAAGCCACGGGAAAAAAAAAAAAAACGAACTCCTAACCTAAACCTTTCAAGCCACAGTCACAAGGAAACTGATGGCTTGGTCCTTGACATCCGCTGAAAGGCTTAGCCATGGATTTTGTGAAGTCAGGATTGAGGATGTAACCCACTCATTAACAGTTGGATAATATCATTGGGGTCCTATTAATGCCTATATGGGGGTTTCCCAAAATTAGGATACCATTTTGGGGGTCCCAATAATAAGGACTGTAGTATATTGGGGTCTATATTGAGGTCCCCTAGTTTGGGGAAACTACCATATATAATTTCTCTTACAATTATATATAGGCCTTCGTAGGACCCCAATTAGGGACTGTTAATGGGTGGGGGCAGGACCCAATGTAAGCCAGCTTCAGAGTTTTGGGTAGCTGTTGTGGCAGTCCCAGGGAGATGCATATAGGTAGTCCCCAAAATTAGGGTCCCATTTTGGTACGCACCCCTAAATATGAAGTGCCGTAATAGAATCTATTTCAAAGAGGGGCCCATAATTTTGAGAACAACCCGTCTCACCCGGGTTTTGCGGCGGTGCTCTTTGGTGGCGTGGTGAGTGCATTCAATCTTGAGAAACTCGCGGTGTTATGGCGTTGTTGTTCTTAAGGCGACTGGGGCTGTGTGTAGTTGTGCAGTTTTATCTTGGCGCTTCAATCTTGAAGCCCGATACTTCAGAAAGGCCTTGCTTGGAGGTTCCCAGGACTTGGCTGGGGTTATAGTTAGGGGCGTCCCAAAATCAGGATACCGTTAGAGGGGGGATACAGGGGTTTTACAGGTTCATATAGCGTTTAGCAGTTACAGTCCTCAATCCCCGTAGGTAGTGTAAGGCAGAGCAGCATCCATCTGCCTTTCGGCTGCTCCATTCCCTGCTGACAATCCGAGATAAAGCCCAAGACTTGAGGGTTTAGGGGTTTGGGGGTGTAGAGGTTTAGGGTTCAGGTTAAGGTTTAGGTTTAGGGGTTTACGGGTTAGGTTGTAGGGCTTAACACTCAACCGTCAAATTCCCGTGTCTTTGAAGAAGACGAGCTGCCAAGTCAAGCCCAACGGGTGCCATCACTGGCAAACCAGAAGAAAGGACACCGCTACAATATTCTGACCCCCAAACCCTGTTAGCACCCGCACATGCTAAACCCCAAGCCCTCAACCCTAAACCCAAAACCCTATACCCTAACTAGTAGTTTCGTTTTTTCCATTACCAATATAACCTTAATATTGCCCTTATATACCGAAATCTGAACCTCTGAACCCTAAAGCCTCGCTCTCAAATTTATACCCCAAACTTCCAAGGTGTAATTTCGGTTTTAGCGGCGCATGCGCAGGAACAACTATTGTCCCATGGATTGCAGCCTCTTAAGCACTGGTCTGTATGGGATAGGTTCTGAAAATTACAAGTTGGTCGACCCGTATTTTGAGTTCTAGAAGTGAATGCTCCAATATTGCGGGGAATGTAGGAGGCCCCCGTTTGTTGAGGAGTTGCCGCCTGCCCTTAGCACAACTGCAAGAAGCATTCCAGTCATCCTCCTTCAAATTATAAAGCTATTGCTTGGGTACTGCCCCCCCCTCAGTAACATTTGGATAATGATATAGTATAGTCATATATGTAGCCCTTAATGGACCCCTAATTTAGACTGTTACTGGGTGGGGGCAGTACCCAAGTTATTGCTTAGCATTCTGGCCTCCCTTGCCTCCAAGTCGCATCTCCAAGCAACTTTACGGAGAAACCCTAAACCCTAAACCCTGCTTAGGTCTTAGGGTTCTCTCAACTTGTTGGTACTAAAGGCAGGGTGGGGGTGTTGAATACAAGGACCACGATACAGCAGGGCGTTGTTTATTGCCGTTTAGGGTTTACGGTTTAGTGTCTGTGGGATGAAGTATACTTATGGTTTAGGTTTAGGGTTCAGGGTTTACGGGAGTAATTATATGGGGAATATTCTGGGGATCCACCCCGCCTCTTCCCCTTGAGTACGAATAAGTCCACATGACGATGGGCTTCTCACAAACTCCAAGCCATCAACCCTCATCTCTAAGCCCCTAATGCCAAACCCGTAACCAATGACCCTAAACCCTAAATCCCTAAATCCTAATTCCTAAGCCCTAAACCATCCTACACCCTAAACCTTAAACCGCTATCCCTAAACCCTTCTCCCTGGAGGGTAAAAGGAGCGCTTTCAAGAAAGCAAACGTATCCCTAAACCCCGACGCCTACTTGGAGGCCCATGGGACTTAGCAATTACTTATAACTGGGATTATAACCCTAAATATAATCCCCCTAAATGGGCTTATAGGGGTTACCCCGATAATAAGTAGGGTTATAATCCCAGTTATAAGTAGTTACTAAGTCCCATGGGCGTCCAAGTACGCCATAGTGTCAGGTCTCAAGTCCGGGAGGCTTTCCTGGAGTTAGATCGAGGCAGCACCGGGACCATCACGGCTTCTGATTTTAAGAGGCTGGGTGGCAATTGGGGGAATTTCCATAAATCGGTTTAGGGTTTTACGCTTTAGGGTTGAGTTTAGGCTTTCGTTATCTCTGGCAACCCCAAATTTGGGATAACTTATTTCATCAGGATCTTCCGGCACAAGGGTTTTCATTATCTCTAGCAACCCAAACCAAGGTATGACTTGGCATTGTCCCTACTGCTTTGATAGGGAACGCACTCATGAATCCTTAGCCTAAGTTTTTGTCCCTAAGCCCTAAACCCTAAATCCCTTAAACCCTTAGCCCTAAACCCTTTAAAGGTTTTCCAACTCAGGCCTTTACAGTAGCCCAAGCCCAATTAGGTCCTTGTACCCTAAACTTTAAGCCTTGGAGCTCAACCCAGGAAAGTCCTGGAAGACAATTTCCACATCCCTGAGGACTGGGGTTGAGGGTGGAGCATCGGATTTCTGGCTTCAGGCACTTCACGAAGCTGTAGGGTACCACTGTTAGGCAGAGACCTTGCTCCATAAGAAGAACTTCAACCCCAAACCCTTAACCCTTAACCCTGAACCCTAAACCCTGAACCCTAAACCCTCAACCCTAAACCCAAACCTTCAGACCCAAGCCCTGAAACCTTAGACCTTACCTTCAACTCGAAACATTTGGCCCGAAGGAGCAAGCGGAGACCGTGTTCAACGCAATTGGTGATGTGGAGCACGATGAGATCCACTACTCCGAGTTTTTAGCCGTTTCCGGACTGTAACTGTTCAAGGTTTGAAGTTTACAGTTTAGGGTTTAGGGGTCCTCAACTGTACATGCACCTGCAGCTCCCTGTAAAGGCCTTGCATCCTAACCCTAGAATCCTAAACCCTCACTCCTAGATTTTTTATCACCCAATACAACACCCGTTCCCATGTCATGCTCCATGTGACAGTTTCCATAAATCGGGCATTTTTATATTGGGGTCCCAAAAAAGGGGCCCCAAAGTTTGGGAAGCCGTCCTTCGCCAGAGTACCGTTACCAATTGATGCTCAATTACGACCGCAAGCTAATCCCTAGACCCTAACCAGACGAGTAGTGACCCAATACGCCAGGAATATGGCAGTATTACCCTAAACCTGATTATGTGGTAGTTTCCGTTCTATGTTCCATTACCGTGGACCAGGCTATGATGGCTTCTCGAATCGCCTTGCATGATGACCTCCTTAAAGATGCCTTCCGTCGGTTTGACACGGAAGCTGGGTTGTGTTTTGAAAAAGTTTTGCATGCTTATGTGTAACTGAACCCAAAGCAAAATTAGGAGTTATCATGTTTAGTATCGCGACAAAATTCAAGGAAAATACGGGCTTCATCCGGAAGGAAGACCTCTTGCTGGCACCTGGGGCTTGACGGATTTGAGTTTCGTACTTCTTTATACGCCGGCTCTGCGTAGATGACCTAAATTTGTGGGCACCCATCCTATGTTCCATATGTCAACTGCATTTTAAGTAGTTGGCTTATGACTTCAAGGAGTCCGCATAGACATTAACTAAATCCTCAATCCTTAAACTCCTGATATACTTGCATCCCATTTGCTACCTGCTGGGCGTCGGGCTTTGCCTTTAAGATCTGGGGCTTCTGAGGCGCTCTCTCAAGGTTTAACATTAGATTTTAGGGGTATCTACTCCAATATGTGCACAGAGGCGCGCAGAAAGTCTAGTGACCCAGCATATTCAGCAACCCACCATTGGCCCACCATGACAATCTCCTGGCTTGCTGGCTCCTCTGGCTCTTGGCAAACCCACAGCTCCTGAGCTTGCCGAATGAAAGAGGGATTCTCTAGAGTATTGTCATACTGGAAAAGAAAATGGAAACTACTACATTATAATAGGGTGTATATATCGGGGTTATATTGGGATAATGGAAAAAAAATGGAAACTACTACAGCTCTAGAAAGCCTTTCCTTTGCTCAAGGGGCAAGTGAACCCTAACTGCGCGGAAGGTGCTGGAAAGCGATCAAGAGGCGACTCAGGTGATGAGGGACCTCGATGTGAATCATGACGGCAAGATCTCCTACGAGGAGTTCATTGGCTTCGTGGCCGCGTTTACATGGCAGACCACTTTGTGGTTTAAGGACTTCAAATGAGAACAGTACAGACTCCTCAACCAACTTTCCTGATACCACCATTATGGTAGTTTCCATTTTATTTTCCATTATCCCCATATAACCCCAATATTACCCTAATAGTACCCCATATTCTATCTACTTAAGGGCAACGTGTCCGTGTGTCAGCTCGCTCCCACCTTGGACCAGGATTTTTACAGGCTTTCGTTTGAAAAGCTGGCTAGACAAAAACAAGATTCCAACTTTTCCACAACAGGATACTGGCCATCCCATTTTCTGTGAGTTTAGGGTGCGAAAGAACTTGGAATTTTAAACCCTCAAACGCGGCAGGCTACCTGAAGAGTGGCGGTGCAGATGATGACGCCCTCGAAGCGGCCGAGAGAGCAATCTCCAAGGAAATCATCACGCACAACAGGCAGGGCAGTGGTATGTTTCCTCGTAATCCAAAAGGTGGATTCACTCACGATTCCTTATCGCCATCAAACCCCAAACCGGTCATAAGACGCTCGGGGACCCCATAGTAGGTTGTCAAGCGTATTGTCCCCTTTTGAGGTCCCCATTATTATGCGACCTGTCAAATTCAGGGTGAGCCGAAAAGATTTCAACAACCCCCCATTCCCTAAATTGAGCCGTAATCCTTAAACTCGAACCCTATAGTAGTTGCCATTTTCTTTTTCATTATCCCAATATAACCCCAATATATACCCTATATAACCCCTGTATAACCCTTATAATAGTTTCTATAAGACTTATAGGCCCTAGGCTAGCGTTGCACGCCGAGCTTGTGTCCTTGTTGGTCGCAATTTTTCAATGGGGCTTAGGTAGTGTGAGTTTAGGGTTGAGGGATTAGGGTCAGGGCTTAGGCTTAGGGTATGTCAGTGTGCAGAAAACCCCCCCAAAAAGGTGTAGATAGCTATACTTGCTGATAAGTATGCTTATCATGAAAAGGAACCTGTAGCTTTGGCAAGCTTGTTGCTGTAATCTTTCGGGCTCAGGGCTTTCAGGCAAATTTCACATAAGCCAAGCACCTCAACGGGTCCAAGAATTGTACGGGCCCCAACTCACTTCCTACCTAAACGTAGTTTCCGAAAATGTGCTTTCATTTTCGTGCCCGACACAGCGTTCTACAGCGTAGGTAGGCATCCCAGATAGGCTCAAAAGTTTGAGAAGGACCCATGGACATCCCAACGAATGTCCAGTTGGTGCTTGCATTTCTCGTGTTCGGATTTGACAGGCGGGCCCTAAACCCAAAACCGGCCTCAATGCCGGAAAATCAGGACCTTATAGGGATTGGAAAATCGTCCTGTCACCTATACCTAAACCCCGAAGGGTTCAGACCAGCATCTCGTGAATTCCTTCCGGTCAGGTCCCACGACGAACCCAAGCTGCGCAAGCGCGACAAGCTGAAAGGGATGTTTGTTCGGATGTTTTCCACATGAGCCATTCATCAAGCTCATCCTACTAGCCGGAAGAACTCCAGGATATTCCTAGATACTCCCTGCACACTTTCCCCATTTGGGGCCTTTTGAAAGTTGCTCACATGGAGGGCGTTGGAGGGCCCTTTGCCCTGCAAATGTCAAAGCGGTCCAAGATGCGCCGTTTGAAGACTCGCAGATGTGGCCCAGAAGTGGCTTCGGGACCGGATCCAAGAAGACTGACAGGGACTAGGGTTTGGGGTTAAGAGTCTAGGGCTGGCGTTCAGGGACTAGGGTTTAGGGTTCAGGTTTCAGGGTCTAGGGTTCAGGGTTTTAGGGTTTTAGGCTTGGTAGATAGTACATACTTAGGGTCCCAAAAGGGGTTCCCATGTCACTACTTCGGGGCCCAGGTATATACTTTATAGCTGCATGGACTCCGTGGGTTCAGGGTTGAGGGTTGGCAGTCTGGGTTTCGGGTTCCTGCATGGGTGATGATGGCGGTGCACATGAAGAGCAGATGAGAAAAAAATGTTAGGTCTATCGTTCACTTGCTATTGAACTTCAACGCTGTGAATCTTGGAATCACAGACACCAACATAAGTTATAAGTACTATTTGGGCCGTCAGCGCGACTGCTGCTGAGATGCTCTTTCTGAAGGATATATAGGTGGTACCGAAAAAACCATTCAGATTGTAGCACTTGCGCCCCAAAGCCTCATCGCTCGGGTAGTTCAACCTAGGAGTTCTTAGAAGCAACATGGTAGTACGCCATGCCGCGGGGAGCGGCATGGTATAATCTTGCCTTGGATCCCGTCGTACTGTAGCATTGGTGGTCTGTGGGTTTCTCAGAATCATGGTTCCCTTTCTGTTGTCCTTGCAGCTGTTTTATTCTAAATTTTGGTGTCAATTTCCGAGAAACCCCGATCTGTGCATCTTGTGCAAAGAACTCGCGATAAGCCTTGCAGGCTTGCGGCTCTTACCCCAGAGCATTTGCTCCTCTGAAGCTCTGTTTCCGGAGGTTTACGAAAAAACTTTGAATATGAAGTTCAAGTAAGTAAGCTAGTGGTAGTACAAGTGATCATTTTCAGAGTAACCCCTCTCCAGTGCATTATTTTAACTGCTGCATTCCATGCCGCCTCCGCTTCGGCTTGACGATCAAAGACGGGGAGTGCCTAATTCCCCGCTTCTTTGGAGAGTTAGCCGAAACGGCTGTCAACGCTAGCGGTCCCTTGGGACAGTTTCAGAGAAGTGCGAAAAAAAGCTGCCCACGCCTGGAGCTTTGACTAGATGAGCCCCGGATGTTTCTTCTTCACTGGATTCTGTCCTACCTTTTGCTAGGGCATGCTTCATTTTGACTCCAAGGGGTAATGGTGATCAATTGCATAAGGACCCCAACGTAGTCTAAACCCTATACGAAAAGTTGGGTAGGACATGCAGTGTTCAGGTAGGCCGTCTGCTGAGATTCCTGCAGAGTAGCGTTGATTTTTAGATACTCCGGTAGCACCCTCGTCCCTTTTTTTGAGGGGGTCTCCTTATTAAAGCTGCATAGTAGGAAAAATGGTACCCTTATTATTAAGGGGTCACTGGGGAAGCTAGGTTTGCATTGGTGTGCCTTGTGGCGCAGGCAATCATGAGTGCCCAGCAGTACGAGCAAACTGGTTCAAGGCGCGGCTCTTCGTCCTTACACCCTAAACTGTACTGTCCTTAGGACTTTTTAAGGTCTTTTTTGTAGCATAACCCTAAGGAAATATTAAAAACATGACTTTTATTATAGGTCTAAGGAAACTACAGCAAACCCTACAGCCTAAACCCCTTTTTCGGCTCGTGTACAGGCTCGCTCCCAGTTGTTTCTTCACCCAAACGCAGTGCTGTCACGGACTGCAAGCCATCGACAAGTGGGTCGAATCTGTCATGACTCCTGATCCTGATGCAGGTAGTTCGCTGAATTCGGGTCCTCTGATACAGCTCCTGTCTGGTGATTAGTAGGGAAGAAGGGAATATAATCCCTATAGTATAATCCCTACCTAGTATATTCACTTATTGCCTACTACAACTCCAATATATACCGTACTAGACTGTGGTGGTCTCATTTTTCTTTTCCATCATCCTTATGATAGCTCCGATATCTTCCCTTATTCCCTACTAAACCCCAGACCCTAAACCCAAAGCCCTAAATCCCCGGGAAGCCTCTCCATGTTGGAGGCTTTACACAGATGCTGCGGATGCTCTGCAGAGAGTGCTGGAGGAGAAGAGAGCCGAGCAGATGGGAAGGCGCGCGCAACTGTGGGGATTTCCCTGGAACATGTTGGCGCCCCCCCACCCCCACCCCCCCCTAGGCATTGCATTTTGCTTACCATTATAATAAGGACGACAGGTTGGTGTAAGGGGACTTGGGGGTGGGGGGTAGTTTTGTGCAAGCAGACCGCGTTCAGTAACCAACAACCATGCGAACGTGAAAACCTCAGAGTTGCAAATTTCGGGGGCCTGCGTGGCTGCTGCCTGCACTCATCAACAACGTGAGAAGATTCAAATGGTAGTTTCCCAAAAGAGGGGACCCCATTCTGGACCCCAAACTATTATAGTCCTTATTATGGGGATCCCCAAAATGGTACCCCTAATTTTGGGAAACCCCCAAATGTATAACCACGTAGAGCCCCTACAAAATGACCCCTTTAACATACTGTTGATTTTCCCTGCATCACCCAATATGACAGCAATACTGCTGCTACTAGCTGCCTCTTCGGGTTTTAAGTCAAACGTAGTGCCTAGGCCGGGGGGGTCAGGGGCCCAGGGGCGGCAACATTGTTGTAGGAGTTGCTTAATCTGGAAGAGCCATATTTCCGTTGGGTCCCATTTTCCCGGAGAGCCGATGTATTGAATCATTTACCTAAACCCTAAACCCTAAACCCTATATTGGATCAAACAGTTTGTAGCATGAACTACTTTGGTATTTTCCATTAGACTCACCTCCAACTTCCAACTCATTCCTGATTTTTGTCTAGTCTGATGTGGTAATCACAGTTTTATCGTGGAAATGACTGCACTTGGGTTTGCAGGCCCACGAGTGTGAAAAACTAGCCCTGCATCGCATGTGTATACTGTTTGCCCATTGAAGGGGGGACCAGGATTAAAAGACATACCCAAAAAGGACCATGTGGATCGCGTTCCTGGAGGGTAAATGAACAACCCTAAACTCAGCAAAGCCCACATGTTCACCAGACTGCTGGAAGGGAACAGGTCCTGAAAAAAGAGAATGACAATCCCTAAACCCTAAACTCAAAACCCTAAACCCTAAACCGGTCTCTCCACAAAGTGGCAACCTTAGGGACCCTTGGCCAACATGAGCCATAGTCTAAACTCCTTAAAGGGGGGTTATATGGGGGATTATATAGGGGACTACTATAGGGCTTATTAAGGGGGATACTAGGAGTTTAGACTATGGCCAACATGGGGTCCATCAGGAGATTGCGGAGGCCCCTCTTTACATAGCATAAGTGTAACTCTGCGATTCTGACGACCCTGCTGGCCTGAAGTCAGGCAGCTTGCGGATGCTGCAGCAAAAGGCGATCAGGGAGCTTCATACTCCTAAATCCTAAACCCCATACAAATCATTGAGGGCTTGTGGATCCAGACTCGGCGCAACAATTTACACGAGCTTGTGTTCCCTTATTCCCTACTAACCTCCAGTAAGATTAGGGCTTACTGAAGGAACATGTCGAAGTCTTGGGGCTTGCTACATACTTGGGAGGGGGACAAGGCGAAAGGTCTTTTATAAACCTCAGAGCCCATTGTCACACCTTTTTCCAGTATGGGGTCACCTGTAAGATAGGAAACACTCAACTTTAGTATGGGCGTGAGGCAACAATCGGTTTTGCTTGATATTTAAAGCCCGCACGACCCCAAGCACTTTAGTATTACGGGGATACATCTTAGGCGACCCTCACTTAGGCCTAAATTCTAAACCCGAGTGACAGATGTTCACAAGCTTGGCAGAAGCGTCTTGGACAGCTAAGCAAGTCAGAGTATGATGACAAGAGGGTCTGCATTCAACGATTCTCTCCAGGTCAAAGGTGTAGATGATGTAGGTTTTAGGGTTTAGGGTACATTACATCCAAGCCCCTATGAACAAGGAAGTTGCTTAATCTTACTGAGTGTCAGTAGGGAATAAGGGAGTATATTATGTAGGGATTACGTAGGGCTTGTATTCCCTTCTTCTCTAGTAACCACCGATAAAGATCCTAATAAGTAGCCGGCTCTTCCTGCATGTACTAGCTGCCCGGTCTGAAGTTTATAAACCTGAAGCCCCTCCATAAACCCTAAGCCCCAAACCCCAAAAGCTCTTAACCCTAAACCCCAAACCCACCCTTGAGCATTAACCAAAACCCAAAAGCCTAAACTCTAAGCCTTACACCCAAAGTTTTAGATCCAATTCCCTAAAGCATGTTAAGCAAGCGTTTAAATTACAATAAGAATGAACCCGCATTAATTATGCTATACCCATAATATGCGAGAAAGCCAGAATCTGGAGTAGGGTATGCCAGGTGACTTGGAGCTACTACACAGCCTTCTGAAGGCCGGTCTGATGAACAGTTGTTCAGATACATATATGGGTGGTTTTCAAAATTATGCTCCATTTTGGGTACCCTAAATATCAGGTGCCGTATTATAATAGGGATCCAAAAAAGGGCCATAATTTTGACAACACCCATATGTGGGACCTCTGGTTTTGATTGGGTGAGGGGTGCATTTTTGAGTGGATTTTTGGGTGCCGGTAGTCTTTGGAGACGACCGCTCGAACCAGGAGGGGTACTGCAATCCCCAACGAAGAGAGAGTTCATATTCTCCTTCCGATTACAAGGTTTTTAAGCATGATCCTAAAACTTAAGCCCCAAACTTCATTTGGTTGAATCACCGAGAAAACGCTGGCCAGTGTTGTCCTAAAAAATGGCAAGCCTAGGGTCCCTGGTTTAGGGTTTAGGGTTTAGCGTTTTAGGGTTTAGGGTTTATGTAGTGATATGTGACTTG